AAAGCATTCCAACAATCTGTCAAACAATACGCCATAAAAATGTGACGTAATTTTGGTTCTACTGAGAGTTAATTCCAACCAAACTTTTAACAATATTTCACATACCTATACATTTTTACCGTTTTTATTTTTTTTATTAAATATTGTTTGCAGGTAATAAAAAGTAGTTTAAAGGTATGTAATTGGTTAATACAAAAATGATTGTATACTTGATACATGTTATCTACTTTAGAAATATATTTGTAAAAGTTAAAAAAAAACAACATAATTTATATAAACAAAATGAACAAAACGCACTCAAAAAAAATCTGTCACTGTAATTGTCAGTGGAACCAAAATTACGTCATTACTAATTTAGCGTATAGCTGCCAGTGGGAAGGGCTCGTATATCTAAGGGGGTTGCGACATAGCCCTTCATTTTGGACGCTATTTTTATTCGAATTAGTCGTCGCCAAGCCTGCCAATTTATGAAAAATGTATAAGCGTTATTTTTAAAAGTAATATTTTCATTTTCATCGTATGTTGCAACTTCTTAGATATACCAACTCTTCCCACCGACAGTTGTTTTGTTTGGAATGCCCAATTAGATGAATCAGCAGGACCCCAATCACCTTCAGTGACTAATAAGAGCACATATTTTTTGAATAATAAATGATGGAAATGACACTAATGGTACTTACGTCTGTTGAACTTTAAGTTTTTGAAAATATACCAAGGCATGATTTTTTTTCATAGGGTAACACGTTTGCAAGTAAATATACAGGGTAGTTCACTTTATATCTTCAGAATTTTAGCAGTCGTTAATATAACGAAAAATTAAGTTTTTCCGGAAAATCACGGTTTAATTTTGTTTTATTTTTAACGTTAGTTTTTTAAATAATAGTGTTTTATCTAAAAAAACCTTTGACCGATTTTAATAACTTTATAACGTATCTTTCGGACATGTTAAAGTTGATCCAGTAATTCCAGAGACGTTCTCACAGGGCGCTTCGATTAGTTTTCGGTACAAAAAATATTGCACAATAGATTTTTTTAATTTTTTATAATTTTTTTCAATAAACTAACTGAAAATATAACTTTTGTCTCATAAATTTTTTGTATCTTACTTTGTTTCCGTGGAAAAAATTCTAACTAACAATTTTGTACGTCTCTAAATATCTGTTGAACCCTATACATCAAAAAGGAAGCAAAGTACCTTTATTTTTCGATAAACTTTCAACTGGTGAAATTCTAACGATATTAACTGGAACACCCTGTATACTCGTAAAAAATTATAAATACATGTTCAGTCGGTTGCAAGAAGGTGCATTAAAATTTATGAGCTAAACTAATAGAGTTTGATAATGTAATCTCTCTGAATGTTATGAATTTCAACTGCTCACATTATATACTTATAGTACTTTTTGGCCTATATGAATACCATGACCATAACAGTTTTTGTTGTTTTTGTTTCTAAAATAAAAAGTTTTTTTTATATTATTTTTTTTATTGTTTATTGTTTGTTTTTAAATTTATTCTTATTTGTTTCTTCTCGGTTTTTATTGTATTCGTTTTTGGATTTACTTGGTAGATTACTAGTATTATGTGCCGACCTTTACTTTGGCAATTTGAGTGAAAATGGCGTAACTGTTAGCTCTTTGTGAAGGTAGTAAGGCACTTTCATGTAAAGTTCGAATAATCGAATTATCTTCAGTATAGATCAGAGGTTCTACTCGAACTGACTACTTCGGTCTGAAGGTGAATAGCCCCAAGTAGGACGAAACAGGTCATAGACTCATAAAATACCAATTCAAAAAATTTGTTGTATCGATAAAGATGGTCTTGGTCTGGATGAGGTTTGAGGTTATAGCCCTGGGAGTAGTTGTTTTGTGTAATAAGGCGACCGTACAACCCCGACTACAAATCACTATATTTTATTTAAGTAGGTTTAATTAAAATGAGAATCAATATTGTTTATTTTTGAAGAAAATCTACGAGTATACAAACTCCATTATTGAATTTAATAATTCAGCCACAAAATAATATCAACATCAAATACTATAGTTTGAAATTAATTCCGAAAACGGCACAGCTAAACGCAAAACAGAAGTTATTTTGTATTTAGAAACTGAGTAAATTCTCAATGTCTGCAATGTGCATTATATGATAAATAATCATTCATTTGCAAATTTAATTATTGTAGAGTCAAATAATTAACAACATATTTAACATGTCTCTACGTTTAATTAACAGCGATTTCATTCAAAACAGTACCATTTGAGCGTAATTTTACATAAATCATTGATTTTCAAAATAAACATTTCGCTAAATTATCTATTTGGGGAATGGGGATGATTAATTAAATTGGTAACAATATAGGGTTGTTTTTTTTTAATGGCAATAATCTCGTTTCAGAGATTTATAATATGCAAATTAATTAGCACATCCATCAAATTCAAAAACAGTTAAAAAAAACTTAATATTACATGCAAATTGGATCCCAAGCAAATGTGCGTCCAAAAATAACATGTAAATTCGGTCCTACGCTTTCATTCTTATATGGTAGCGAATATGTAAATTCGGTCCTGACGACCCTTTAGGTAAATAAATTAAAACAGGCAATAATAGTGATTAAATAATTTTATTATTACCCAAAGCAACATTCGGAACTTTTTAATATGTGCAGAAAAAGAAAGCAGTTCAGTATTAAATTAAAACCCTTTATATATAGAGAAAAATAAAAAACTATTTTATTTTACTAATGCAAAAAAATTATACCTAAAATGAGAAAAATAAAATTAACTAATTTATCTAACCTGTGCGACCTAGAGCCATCGTGGGTTTCTTCGCAAAAAAATTTAAAAAAAGTCTTTCCTTTTGAATCTAAACTACGTGCACACAGCTGTCAAGCTTTTTTGGTTATTTTAATTAATAATTTATATTTTAAATCACATTAGGCTCAAATACCGAAAGGAATGAAGGCGGCACTGTCACCAGCCAAAGGGTACTGGAATCCGGTAGGAAAATCCATTCTCCAGTGACACAAAAAAAATTGACGATGTTATTTCTTAATAGCATAGTCAAGCGGTTTTGTCAATTGTTTAAAGACTGCCAGTCCTTAGGGGTAGAAACGACAAGGCTTTACAAAAGCTCGGAATATTTCATAATTGGTTTTGAAAAGGGGAGGAATATTTCATAACTGTTTTTTAGAAAGAGGAGGAGAGAATAATAAAGTTAATAAACAGCAACATATGTAATATTTCAAATAATTACAGGATGACTAATAGTCTCAAGAATAATTTAAAACAATTTTATGTAGAGAATAGGTAAACTTAACTTGCTATGTTTAAATCACTTTTTGATAATATGTCCAAATTTTTTGATAACGACCGAAATAATAAATTATAACACACAACCTATGACTTATGACAGATATATTACTATGGGATTATATTGTTTGGACTTATTAACAACTATAATAGTACTGGAAAATTTAACTACATATGATAAATATAAGATATATAAACTCGGGATGAAAATGGAAAAACTGGCATTTATATGGAAATCAATTAATTGTCTCAAAACAAAATCGAACAATACTTTTAAAACAACATATTAAATAATTAAAGATAATAAATAACCTCTGGCACACAAATCGCTGCACAAAACTTTACATATTAAGGTGCTTCGGGACCTAGGGTCCCGAAACAAAAGTTTCGGGCAGCAGCCCTTACTCAAGTCTTCTCCTATCAACTATTGACAATCTATTTAAACCAAAATTTACGTGACAAGTTAATTATTATCAACGTATTTCTTTAGTCCCATGTAAGCCATTGACTGGAGTAATAACCTAATTGTGTGGTTTATTTCAATACGTGTGTTTCTATTTGAATATATTTGAATACTTTTTGGAATTTTTGGGTAATTTTTAATATTTTACTACTAATAATGCCAATTATTACACTATGTTATCTCGATTTCGATATTTATCAACTTTACTTACTCACCCACAATAATTGAAAATACTCTATCAAGCGCTGGTCAAAAGTCACATCAGATATATTAATTTTGAAGAAAGAACGAACATACCCAAGAAGTATATTATTTAAAGAAGCAAAACTATTTAATATAATATATGTCAATTGTACTTTTTAAAGTTGTTATACATATGTTATAATCTTATCATACTAAACGAATACGTATTTTACATATAAAACCATCCATACAACACACGCCAACCAAAACTCTATTGAATAGGTACCAAAAATGCAAAAATCAATAAAAAAATCATAATTTAACTTTTAAGAAAAGGTTCTTCCATTTAGGGAGCAGAAGTAAAAGATTTATAAAATATTTAAAACTTTCACATATTATCACAGAATATATGGACAACATATAATGGAAACATTGAGCTACAGCCAAAACTCTACACACTGTAGCTACCTCTTATGATGGCGGATAATTGCCAGAGTTGAATAGAAATAAATGTTGCTTTCTCAGTGTAGTTTCACTGAATAGGTTATGTTTGTGTGAACTAGTTTTCTCAGAGTATCTTTTTGTTGGTACTGAAGGTTAAACATTTCTATTCACTCTACTTCAAAGTGCCTATCGTTACTTTCCTTCTACGTTGTGCATTTATATTTTTATATTTGTTGTTCATATATGTTATTCACAAATATTGTTCATTTAGGTTGTTTATATATGTTGTTCATATATGTTGTTTATATATTCTGTGATATTACTAAGGCCCTTCTTTACCAATATCTTCTTGTAGATAAGGAATTAAAGAATAAAAATTTGTGTTGTGCAAAAACCATATAAACTAGTGTTAAGTGAACATTTAATTTTAAAATCTACAATTTAGAATTACTGCTAAATTTTATCATCTACCGTTTACAATTTCAAATTTACGTCAAAGATTTAAAATTAAAATTTCGGAGACTATCGCTGCAAATTTAAAGTGAACCGGCCTAAACGGCAAAAAATTATGTAACTTTATTGGACTAACCTTGTTGGACAAGATGAATAGTGTTTTTGCTTTAGCATTTGTGGCTATAATAGCTTTTTGTGGCGGCCTGACGGCTCCTGCTTGCGTCTGCGATACAAGAGAGTGCGAAATTATCAACGAGATCGATTGCCCTGGACTGGGGGTTGTTGTTTGGGATCCTTGCAAGTGAGTATCTAAATATTTTATCGTACTTTATTTATTTATTGTACATTTACGCATGACAGACGAAAATAAAATCGTTTTACGTGAAAATTTGCGCGAATAAAATGCATGTAAAAAGATCGACCCTGGTCGTTCCAATTCCCTTAATCCGGCGACAGTGTGGTGGAAATTTTGATAAGAACCTGTGTGGTGGGGTATTACATACCCCAAAAGCAAAAAAAAACATACATGATTATTTTTTTGAAGTTTTTAATTTTTTTTTGGGTTATTTAGGCAGTATTGAATAAGGACTTATTTTAAAAAAGATGTTAATTAAGAAAGAACATCATAAAAAAAACAATTCATAAATACGGCATTTTCAACAAAAAAAAAATCACTCAGATCAATAACATAGTCTAAGTATTAGAAAAATAAAGAAATAATAACAAAAATATAGTTTTCTTACAGTAAAAATATAAGTCAAACCACTAAAAGAAACAAAGTTAAGTTTATTTATTTCTGCTGAGGGCTACAGGCGTCGAAAAAAACTACTGAATACTCCATGCAAATTGCCTTCCAACAGCCAGATAGAACGTCTTCCTGACTTTTTTTCTTGAGCATATTTCGCACCTGGTAGATAGTCTACGCCTTTTTCCAGGTTGTTCTGCATTTTCTGGTAAAGGCCCTTTTGTTTGTAATTCACTCTGAAACCGTTTGTTGGTTGATCTGCGTTCCTTGTGCTCAGTCAATAACTGAATAGCTAAGGTTTTCAAAAAAATTTCTTTTTTTCATAGCAGTATTGCCACTGTTTAAATTAAAAATAATTCTAGCGTTTATTCCTGCGCAGTTGAGAATAGCGTAGAAAAGAGTCAGTGGCCATCTTTTACTATTGCGTGACACGTCGTATGCGGCTGATAGCTTGTCACAATATCAACGCCACCCTTGGTCGCATTGTAAAAGGTCAAAATTTCTGGTTTTCTTTTTTTCTCTTTTCACCAGTTTCTTTATCAATTTCTGGAGTATGATGCAAAGTGGACATGAGAAGAACTACCTTTCCTTTTTTGGGAACATGTGTGTGTGCGCGCGCGTGTGTGTGTGTGCGCGCGCGTGTGTGTGTGTGCGCGCGCGTGTGTGTGTGTGTGTGTGTGTGTGCGCGCGTGTGTGCGTGTGTGTGTGCGTGCGTGTGTGTGTGTGTGTATGTGTGTGTGTGTGTGTGTGTATATGCAGTGGTTAACTGGCATCGGGTTTAACCCATTTGCCACAGAAATTATTATTTTTATTACAATTGTTACCACTGATTGTTAATCTTATTGTTTAATTGTTATTGGTTTATATGTTAATTATTGTTTAATTGTTATTGGTTTATATGTTAATTTTAGATTCTTTAATAAATGTTATCAATATATCAAATACTTTTTTATTGTTTGAGATCAATAGCAACGTAATATTGGTTGGAAAAGAAATCAATATATCTAATAACTTCGTTAAAAAATTATTTCTATATTTGTTGTGGTTGTTACATGCTTGGGAACATGTGATACTAAGGTTACGTCTTTCTAGAAGCCGAATTTCGAAGAACATTCCGGTCTATCTTTAGACATAAGAAAGCTCGCAGGTATCTGTTTTTTATTTTTTCTAACAGTTCCAACTGATGTTAGCTGATATTCTTGTAAAAGCCGCAGCATACCCTCGTAACTGGTGAACCAGTTATCGAATGTTACATTCCGTTTTGTACCGGAAATAGGAGCTATTACTCTAAGGACGACATCAGTAGGTTTGGAGCTCAACTGAAATGGTCCTTCTGGTTGTAAACCAACATATAATTCTAAATTAAGGACAAAGTAGGACTTTGCATCTAGTACAGCAAATATTTTTAACCCATAGCGAGCCGGCTTATTTGGCATGTACTGTCTAAAAGCACAGCGCCCCCTAAAAGCTTTTAGCTTTTCATCTATAGTAAAATACTCGCTAGGTGTATACACATTTCGAGAGTTATGTACGAATTGATCAAAAACTGCCCTAATCGCAGCCATTTTGTCAATTTTTCTTCTTTCTTCTCGGTTTTCTATATTGTCGAAACGTAAACAGGCCTGCAGAAAGATAAACCTTTGTAGAGACATTGATTTTCTAAACAGACTTATCCCCGTACCATCTGTTGACCATAGATCTTCAAGATTAAGTCTAGCAGATTTGAATACTCCTGACAAATAAAGTAGGCCAAACAATGCTCTTATCTCACACGCATCTGTTTCATTGACAATATATTGATGATTTTCGTCTTAAGAGGCAGATTTCCTTCTTATTTTTACATTTGTCCACATGACGATATCATTTATTATATCTGGAATAATAAGTAAATCGAAGCACTCAATTGAAGTTTTAGCGTCTTTAGCCATTCTTTTTACCCCGGGCAAATGGGTGATAATATTTTCAGAGCGGGTCCTTACATTTTTAGGGAAATCATTTGCAGACCATCTGGTACCATCCTTTCCTAGATAAAATTTTGAGCTTGCTTCATTTTGTTCACTTTGTGCATCTTCATTCTGATTGACTATTTGGATATCCTCTCCCTCTGATTTTTCAGAACTGTGCCAATAGCCAATAGCAACTTCTACTTCTTGAATATCTTGCCACATAGACAACAGTCGCTTCTGTTCGCGCTCATAAGAACCAGCCATGATAAAACTAAAACAAAAATGTATTATTTATTATGTGTACATACGTAGAAAAAAATTATTTCTAAATTTCTATCCAAAAAAGTTTTTCAATCAAGAGTAAAGTTTCTTTTTGTGTCCATACCAAAGAACAAAAAAAAAAACATTAAATTTTATGTAAACAGGTCATGTTTCATTTTAAAATTACCTTTTCAATGATGTGTCACACATAGTATTTTCCCTATTTCAATTTCATTGGTAATAGTGACAGAGGGGTGGAGAGGGATGTAGGATAGTTGAGGATATGATCGAAAGATGTCCCCTTTGAAATAAAAATCGACCTCTTTTTGCATTTTCTCCAAAAAAATGTGTCTTCAAGATATGCGATCTGTTTCGTTTTCGGTGCCTCATCTCTTATATTTTACATTAAAATACCGATTTAATAACGATCTCCATATAAGTTTCTAGATTGTAGTTTAACGGTACCGCTACTAGAGAGATTCTTGAGTTTAGTATCATTTAGTGGTCTCTTATTTAAATATTGAATAGCTAATGGATTAACGCGCCAAATAAAATTTAAAAAGGCGTAAGCTTGTTACCCAATTTTTAATAAATTACTGGTTTGCTATTTAGGTACTTTAACCCTTTTAAATCAACCTATATAATTAAGGAAGGGAAGGAGTACGTAAAATGGGGTGGTTTTTCTACTTTAAGTTATGTATAATAATAATAATAATAATAATAATAATAATATTTATTCAGAAAGCAGAATCCATATACATAAAATAGTGAAACACAAGAAGTTTTAACAAAAATACAAGGATTATCTACTATACTGAAAAGGAATCGTATTCATCGTAGCCTATCAGAAGACAGACTAAAATGGTTTTCAATACGCCCGGTCAAAATTAATAGTTTAAATATAAACACCCCTTAAATGTAGTACATATATAAATACATAATGGATACACATATAAAAAAATGAAAATTGTAATTAATAACAAACAAAGACATCATAAATACCTACCTAGTCTAGTAGACGAAGCTCAATGAAAATTAGTGAACGTTGCTTCAAGCAATAAATATAAAAATATACAAAGATCAATCAAATAATCACAAATTAATATTTATATTTTAAAATCGATCAAAAGCTGTCCCCGAAGTAACAAAAATTTCAACTTATTTTTAAAAGTTACATGACTTAATTTTTTAAACTCTATTGGTATAAGATTCAAGATACGGCCTATTAAATATGAAAATGAACTTTTGAACATAGCAGTGGAATGTCGAGGAATGGAGATATCATCCTTTCTGCGAATATTAATATTGTGTACATCGTGTACATATTCCTGTTGTTTAAGATGGAAAAATAAAATTGTTTAAATAAGAGTCGTCTCCGATGCCATTATAATTTTAAATATTTATTTCGAAACTACAAAAGTTTAAATAACCAAAAATGATCGAAATTAGAACAAATGATCGACATCGCATATAATAGATATTATTAGATATTTATAAATCTGTTTGAAAGTACTAAAAAATGATCGAAATTGTCACAAAATTCCCGAAACACGTCAATTTTATTTTCAATGGGTCGTATTACAAAGAGGCTTGTTAATTATTTTAATTATCTGGCGGTTGTGACCCACAACTTTTTTTTTCGGGTAGTTTGATATATTATTTTTTATTTGAAAGCTTTTTTAATTACAAATTAAATTACATTTTTAAAATAGAAAAGTTCGAATGGAAAATTTTTTGAAAGTACAAAATTTCGAAACTACAAAAGTTCAAATGTCAAAAAAAGATCGAAATTAGAACAAATGATCGAAATCACATATAATAGGTATTAGATATTTAGAAATGATCGAAATCTGTTTAAAAGTACTAAAAATGATCGAAATTCTAACTGGAACACATTTTGTAACTTAATAAACAAAGGTTTGTCACAAAATTCCCGAAACACATCAATTTTTATTTTCAATGGGTCATATTCCAAAGAGGCTTGTTAATTATTTTAATTATCTGGGGGTTGTGACCCCCAACTTTTTTTTTTGAAATGGTAGTTTGATATATTATTTTTTATTTGAAAGCTTCTTTAATTACAGAAAAAATTAAAAAAAAAATGTTGGTTACTTTTTAAAAGCAATGTGTCGGAAAAACTAAAATAAGGAAATATTTACTGAAACTATTTACTTTGTTGCTGATAATACCTTAATCGATTATAAAAAGCATTTTGTAACACTTACGGCGTCACTTGCTTAAGTTCGTCCCTGATTCTAGGGGTGTTGTTGAAACCATATCCATTGGTCAAATAAGTTGGAATCCAAATTATTGGAAAATAAATTTACTGAAGTAGGAATCAGTTCTTCT